TCCGACACATCCTGGAACACTGAAGTTCCAGGAAACCTGGACATCAAGTACTCCGACTTCGCTTCGTCGATTTCTGCCATGAAGCAAAGCTGCACCTGGCGCAAGTTGGGCGGCTGGCGTGTGGAAGTGAATGCTGGTCCCTGGTACACCCAGAGGTTGGTGGACATGTAACACATGTCATGTTTTTTCATAGCGGAGCTTGGAATAGATAGAACATGATAGATGCTGATATGATAGGGATGCTTCGAATATGGAGAATCATGGCCGAACCTAGTTGGGTTTCATCTGGTTTCTATTCCTCTACCTCCCTAATGTTCCCCAAGTTGTCTTTGGCTCGGCTAGATGTTGATTAGTACAAAATCAACAATTTCCACAATCCGAATTGGAAGTTTGCCATTGGGATCAGCTGCTAAGTTGTTGTTGTTGATGTTGCATGATGGATACAACTTAATTGCAAAATAGCTAAAACATGGAAGACGGTAATGAATAAACCTTGGTCAGGGAGTCGTTTTTGACCACACATGGTCACCCACATGTTTTGCGCACGAAAACCGACACTACAAGCACAGCCTCAAGGAGGGCATCAGAGGGTGTGGAACAAGCTGCATTCCATTCAGCCTTCAATGCATCCAATACCATCTCTAGTACTGCCCATCCAGTAAACATGCTCCCAACTTTGAGGACATCGATCTGGCTAAAGGTGTGCACCAGCTTTCTCCGAATGCATTCGAACTCCGGATTGTGGACAAAATCGGCGACAAAGCTATCCACCTAAAGTGGCAAACGATTTCCACCAAGGGTTGCCTTCCTGCATTTGAATTTGAAGTAGAGGTAAAAATCAATGTTCTCCAGGACCCCCAAAGATTCCTAAAGTTTGCAGTCCCACAACGGCCTTTCAACTTAACAAATCATCCAAATCGACCTCTCCCTGTTACAAATAGGGATATATCCACAAAACTTTGGATCTTGGAATAATGGTGGAATTTGACATTGACCATCACTTAAACCAAGATACCCCTGGTTCTCCTGGAATGCGAAAGAGCTTTCCATACTTGGATGTCTGGACATCAGCCGCCGCTTCCTCCTCCGATGAAGCCAGAAGCAAGGATGGTGAACTGCGGTCGCCAGGATCTTGACCTGGCTGGGCAGTGACAGTGGTATTAAAACAAACTCCTCTCTTAGAGACCACTACTTTCGACACTTCAATTGCTACCGACCCCATGCCGTGGAAGAAATCCTTTGTGTTTCTTCCCCTGCAAATTCCCACGTGGTTGTGCATCCCTGACCCCTGATGACTCCTGCCTTCACAATCCGAACTGAAAAGAATCTCTTCTTGGAGGGAATCCGCATGTTCCTCCTCTTTTGAGCTCCTGGCAAGCCGGCTGGTTGCAATTTCTGGATGGGTTGGTAATGACGCATCGGTTTGAATACTATGTTCCTCCAATTTCAACAAGAAAAGAATTGTCTTGCTTGCTACCCACAAATTGTTGATGCAACGAAGTCAAGCAAAGTACATTCATGAGGATTGGAAAGGACATGGACAGGGAGCATTCTGCTTTCTCCTAGGGCCCCAAAAGATTTACATCGGTTACTCGTGCTTGACTGCTCGACTCTCATTTCTTGATGTTTTTTGGGAAAGGAAGCAAACATGCATGGCATGACATCGATTGTAGAGTAAAAGACAGTCAGGCACTCCTTTTTGCGAGCATCCCCCAAAACACTCAATCTGCCAGTGCGATGGGTAGATTCACTGGCCCATCAGAATCGGAGCTGTCACTATCCACATGGTCACCCGCCAGCGTGAGATCAAAGTGTTTCACACGCCGTGGCTGTTGCCATCTTCCCGGCTCATGGCGTTCCGAGCGCATGTCCTGAGACCACCTATGGCCCAAAAATGTGTAGGAGGCAGGTCTGGGTTTTCGAGGCAATGTGCCTCGACTCCAACCAAGCAAGTACCGGGCACCCTCCTCCGATACTTCACCGCTTCGTACACAGATTGGGACCCGTTTCTGCAGATTTTTTTGGACTTGTTCACCGATAGTTCTTCTGTTGGCAATGCCTCCTGGGGGATGATGTCCACACCTGATTTGATGAGCCATCGAAGCTGGTACAGCCACCAATGCACGTGTGACCTCGGTGTCTGACAGCCACTTTTTGGTCACCAAAAAAACATCATCAGCGTGAGGTTCCCATCGCCCCCCCATACTCCTCCAACTCCTGCACATTGTCCAGAACATCAGACCCGAGGTCTCTCCGACAACAAAATCTCATGTAGTGGACGTTTCTCAGGCCTTTGAAGGAGAGTCCAAGCTGGGCCACAAATTTTTTCCAGGCAGTCACCTCATCGAGCTTCGAAACCGAAGCTTCAGAACCGCGAATGCGCCCTGACCTCTCTGCTGGCTGCCCATTGTCAATGCATTGTTCTAAAACATTGATCATTTGGGATGCCGATTGACATGTTTTGCCCATCAGCAGCCGGGCTACTTGTCCGAAGACTTGATCGACATCATCATGGCTATGAGCCGTTCTCAAGAACCCCAACACTGTGTATCGGAATACTCCCAGGACTTGTAGCAGCAGCATAAACCCCAGAACGTAGCGGTTCTTCCCTTCTCGAGGGCAGTTGTCTTGCTGGAGATGCAGTGTCATTGCCAACGAAGCGCCGTGATCAAAAAGATGCTGGAGGGAAAGGCACAGGGCTTCTAGCTGTGTTTCGGAATCTTTCTTCAAATCTTCGTCTGACAAATATAGATATAGCCGGAAGCCATGTATCCATGATGCCAACAGGTGGGTCGCAGGTCTGTATAACTTGGTTGCTGCTTTACTCAGCTTGGAGTAACCCCACTTTGGAAGACGCAGTTTTGCCTGGTCCATGCCGTCCTGTATTACAGTGACCACAGAAGAGGCTAGATCCGATCCAGACAATCGCTTGCTGAAGTGAAGGGCTTGTTGGAAATAGTTGCGGCTCAATGCCCTCATATTCCAATAAAACTGTCTATCTGCCCATTGTTGGAGCAAGTGTTGGCTGTAAATTCGAACGTTCATTGCCCTTGCACTTTTTGTAGTCGCGGTCCGAATGCGCTTGCGAAGCCGGTGACATGTGTCACATTGACCAAAGTCCCCTTTGTCTCTGAACTTCAAGTGTGATGAAAAAACTCTCTTCATCACTCTCCGGAAAGTGCTGAATGCAGCAGGGTCCAAACCAGAAGCCTCACAAAAAGCCTGGTACTGCCAAAAGAGGTCCATCGGCCTTTGCCATTCTAGGTATCGCCGTGGCCCCTCAAAAGCACCAGGTCCACCATGGGCAACCTTGGCACTGTCTGGTTTACAAGATGCAGGACACACTATGTTGATGTCAACAACCAAATATGATGATACTGGATTGGAATTGGCCTAGACCCTACAAGATGGTAAAAGGGTTATCTAAAGTCCAATCACAAGGGACGGGGTTCATGTCATAGTTCCGCTCCAAGCAAGCCAAGAAATTCTGAACATACCTTTCTTGGAAATCAGGGTCTTTGGACATGCGAGATTCAGACAGGTTCTCGTCCTGTCGTCCAGGCATCATAAACTTGATCGGAAGAATCTCCGCGCAACTGATCCAAAGGAGCCAAAAGAAGGACATGATCGATGGCCACTTCTTGTTCTCAGCACACCGAACCATTGACACCCCAAGAGAAGGGTGCTGTGGTTCACGAAGGCGCCCTGAGTGCATGGTGAATCCTTTGTTTCCAGCGCGCATGTTTTGCAGTGCACTAGAGCCGATGGCATAAAGTCTCATGTGGGCATATCTGCACACAGGGCGCTGGAGGAACGTCAGCTGGTGGTTTGCAGTCCGTTGATCTGAGTATCTACGAGCCTTTTTTTGCGGTGGCTGTGAACACTCTTTCTCCGACTCAGTTTCCAGCAGTAGCTCCCCATCGCTGCAAGTCGGAGTGGCCACCAGATTCTCTTGATCAGAATCACTTTGAAGCAAAATATCACCCTCCCCTTCCGAGTCTGTGGCAATGAGCACATTGGAAATAGGGACAACCCCGGCTTCAAAGCTTGTGGCAGGTTCAACGTCCACATGGTACCACGTCTTCAATAAAGCTTCCTGGCAATGTGGCGCAAACCCTATAGGGAACCCCAATACAGCCAGAACACAGTAGGCCACACCAGACTGAGATTGCTTGTTCTTGGAAAACATATTATTTAAACCTAACAAAACTTTTGAAGGACTCACTAAGTGTACGACAATAAATACAGCGTTCTTTTCCATTCCAGTCCTTGTGGTCTGCATCTAAAGCAGAGAATCGATTCCGCTCTTGCTGAACCTCTGCAGCTGCGTCGGCAAATTGTTGGAAACACTTCACCTGTGTGCATGTGCACTTTCGCGACAAGAGTGTGCAAATTGCCACTCTGGACGGCATTGCTCGCACAGCAATGGTTGACGGATGACATGCAGTGATGCCCGCTATTTCATCAGTTCCTAAGAAAAATAAAGGATGTCATTCATAATGTTTGTCGTCCAGTAGTGCTAACTGCTGCCACCCAGTAGTGCTAACTGCTGCCACCCAAGCTACCGTGACCGTGTTTGCTTTATGTCTCTGACGTGCTCACCTTTTCTTATAATATATTATGTTTTGCGCTGGCTGCTTTTGAACCAGGCTCAGGCCACAAATAAGCCTTGCAATCTTTACCAGAATGCTTTACCCCAGCAGCTCCCTCAGCAGTCCTGGACGGCTTCTTCAATGACTTTGCTGGCTTCTTCAGCATTGATGAAGATGCCGATGGCCGCTTCATGGGCTCTGCACAACCCTTTCGAACTCTTTTGGGCAGCAATGGGCTGTGGAGTCCGAACAAAGGTAAAAATAAACAACAAATAACAACAACTGAACTCATCGAGAACCTCGTGGAACCAAAACCTGAAAAGACTAACTTTTGTGAAACTTCCTTATATATATATATGAATAGGTGCTGTATTTCTGATCTCAAGTCCAGCATTTTGCTGTGCTCAGGCCCTGGCTCCCGCACAGGCTGGGAGCCAGCGACCGGAGATAGTGTTTTTGTTCGAAACCGATCTGCTGGGGCCCAGCTGGGGCTTCAACTGCTTTGATGAGTGTTTTGTTGTTCAACTGTTACTTTCCTTACGCTTTACTCAATGTGGAGTTTGTTAAAACCTAGACAGGGCAAAATCAGAGAGCATTCTCAAGTACCAACAGCTCTGGGTCAGAGACGAGGGTTTTCAACATAACAAGTCCATCAGGCGATTAAGACTTGGGTTTTTTACAGGGAGATGGTGTTGGTGAAGACGGCATTATGATGCATTATGGCGAACAAAATGAATCCTAGTCGGTAGCCATCAGTCATCATAAATTCCCAGTTTTTGGACTGTTGAAGCTAGTCTCGTACTCGGCGCTTTGGAAGTGGAGAAGCCCTTCACACTCAGTTTAAAGTTTGTTCTTTTGTATACACTATTTGTGGCTCACAGGAGCATACTGCCTGTTGCTTTGGCATGTCCTAACTTGGTTAGAGGTCTCAAGCAGAGTCTATGCTATCCAAGATCCAGGTGTCTCAACTCCCAACTCTCCAATCAGGAAGGAAGCCCAGTCAAGGACAGAGGCGTGAAAAAAGTTTCAAATTTAGGCTCACGGATGAATCGTTCCCATGCTCCATCTCTACCAACCAATCTACCGGCCAGCCAAGAAACCTTAGGGTTGATGGAAGAGTTCTCAGGAAAACGAGCCTATAGTCCATGTCCATGCATGTCAAATGCTTCTCACGCCATCCCCTTGGATCCTTGATCTCCAGGCACAGCACCCATGTCCTTCTCCCCAAACACCAACGGCACGGCTCCCACCAACGGTCCTTGGGTCCAATTGGAGGGATGGTGAGGTGATGGGAGGACTTCTGAGCACTTTGAGTTTATGATTGGATGTCATTCTTCATGTAGCGGCATCCATGAGTTTCTTGGCCACCAATTGTAGTTGCCAGTGTTTGGCGCTGAAAGAGAGACCTCTATCCTCAACCTATTTTGGGTGATCCTCAACAAGACATCACCTATCATCACCTATCCTTCAGATCATAACAAGTAAGACGAGCTTGCCCAGGGATCCAAAAAACTTGTCTCACTGAGTCTTAGGATCAGACCGAGTCTCACCGGCCGGTCGTCCGGATCAGACCGGATCAGACCGCACCAGCATGATCTTCCGGGGTTTAGACCGTTCCAGCGCCGTGCTGTCTTCAGTACCGGACCCTGGGCCCAGTGGCGCCCAGTGGTGAGTTCCACACGTCCCCGGCAGTTGTCGACCCCCTTGTTCCGTGTCTTTGGCTTGCGGGGTGCATGCCATGCTTGGAACATCTTGGAATATTTCAGCGTCACAAGATGATGTGTTTCTCTTTTGGAAGAAGGGGAAAGAAGACCTGGTTGTTTGATGTTGTTTGATGTTGTGCCACCGCAAATATGGTCTTAGTATATTGTGGCTACGGCCATACAAGAAACTACCAACCCCGTGGATGTTCTCCGTAAGGGTTACTCCGCGATTTGGGCCGATCCTTCTCAGGCTCGAACTTTGCTCCAAGTGGTACCAGCCGGGGCCTGAGTGCAACTTCCTTTTTTTTTGGCGAAGGTGGAGGTAGGTGCGCGAACTCCGCATGCAAATAAACGCCTTATTTGGAATCAGCACATATCACCATACGGCCCTGAACCATGAATGTCCTATTCCACTATCCTTCCTGTTATATGCAACAAGTCTGAAGGGCAATACGGATGGCTTTTGGCAGTTCATCTGTAACCCAATCGATGTAACAACGCCCATCCACCGCGAGGCATGAGTTTCAGTCCCGATCCAGGCACGGTCCGTCCTTTTGGTCGGTCCGGCGAGCCATGGAGTCACGTGGAGGGACTCCGTCCGGGTGAACCTGAGTGAACCGGTCAACCTACGGGCCTGTCCTTGTGAGCCGGCCAGGGGCTTTTTTGTTGATCGTGGCGTGAACAGATCGTGGCATGTCAAAAGCTTTCCGCCAGATTTGGGTGGAGAAAGTGGATGAACCCAAGCCCTTCACGCCATCGGTACAACGCATGCTTTTCCAGACCAGCCGCTTCGTCTCACTTGCAAAATGGATACCATGTGAAACCCAATAGGAACAATTAGCCTGGCAGCTAAGATTGTTTGGGTGGTAGTTGGATGAACCAGATTGACTGAAGATAAATGGCAGTTGAATGCCCATGATATTATTCTTTTGGAGGAGAGATGGCCACAACTACTGCCAAACATGGAGCCCTGTCCCAAAGATCCCGGTCCCCCAAGCCAGAGCAGCCAGATCCATGTTTCGGTTGGAACGCCACACCATCCCGCCAGGAAAGACTAGCTTCCCAGGCACCTTCCCGAGGAGAGAACGAGTGACTTTGGGCAAAGGAAGGTGGCCCCACCTGAAGAACCAACACCAACATGCCATGTGGGAACGAACCTCCCTGACTCCGAAAGGTGTGGGAGTATTGGTGAACAGGAAGGAGACATGGAGAGACGGGTTCTTTGAAGACCACCTGAACAACCAGAGATTCATTGTCTATATAGCGCATATAGCATGTTTGCAAATCTATTTTTCAATTTGATCACTGTTCCGGTTTTGGATTTTTGTGGGTCACTAGCTGGATTCATTTGTCAAGTCAGTTCTGGAAGTTCTGGGGAGACACAATATATCATATGATAAGTCATATGACATTATGGCTCTTTAGTCACTATTAGTTGATACACATGTTAGATTCACAATATATACTGTATATAGCTGACTGTGTGCCTTAGAAAACGGTTAGTGGAACCAAAGAAAGATCAATGAACCTTTTTTTCTCCTAAAAGACGGCCTAGCATCCACTGGCTTTCAATGGTGTCAAACTTTGTTCCCCGCTTCCCCATGGCGTGGCTGGGGTATACGTGGACTGGTTTGTGTCCCTCGAGGTAAGATGAGCTTCAGCCCGAACGAGCCAGGTGTGTGGCCCCAGCCAACTTAGAGGGAGGTCCTATTGGTCCTATTGGGTAATACTAACCATTGTGAAATCGTGGACACCTGGAAAAGAAACACCCGTATACAATTCTGAGTGAGCTCTTTGGACATCTCCCTTTCTACATGGGTAAGGACGGTAAGGACCTTTCAACCTCCGTTCGGTTCCCGTGGTCCGTGCCCTGAAGTAGCAACAGATTCAACTTCTCCAGCCACGAATGGCGGCCTTTCGACTATGTTCCACACTGGACCCCCTTCCTGACTTCACCTCTGCTACACCCCAAAACTCACCTTCAATATCCCATGTTCATCCCATCTTCATCCCATCATCATCCCATCTTCATCCACCGACCTTAGATCTTTCTTCCCAAAACGATCCCCTTTCCCTCCCTTCCCCGCCTCCCTTGAAACACACCGACACCATGGCACCCCTTTCGCCTCGGTCACCGAGGCAAGATGAGCTTCGGTCCTCAGGATCCACCGGGAGGCGGCTCGGTGAAGAGCAGTAGGAGGAGTAGCAGGCCCACCATCAGGAGGAGAAGGTGGCGCATTGTTGTTGGTGGACAGAGAAGTATTTGTGTTCCTCTTTTCTTTTTACTCTGTTTCTAGATTCTAGTAGCAATGGCCTCTGTTTCTAGTAGCAATGGCCTTTGTTTCTAGCAGCGATGGCCTCTGTTTGTAGCAGCGATGGCCTTTGTTTCTAGCAGCGATGGCCTCCAGCTTATTGGATTTGGGGCGGAGTGGAGAGTGGGAGAAGGAAGTCGATGGGAATCGATCCGGTGTTTTGGTTTGTATAGTTTTGTGGGGTTCGTCAACTGGACTTCGAGCATGAATGTCAATCGACTCATGAGTGTCAAGGGTTGTTTGCAGAGTAGCCCCAACAGCTCCTGGTACGTTTCCTGCAGAACGATCTAGAGCAAGCTGGTTGATCCTGTACAATCAATGAACATTACAGTTTATAGGAAGATACTAGTAGTACAAACAGCAGAACTTTCATATGTTGAGAGGTAAGAATGAATTGTTTGGTTCAAAGCACCTAAGCAGCTTTTGCGCAGCTTGTGCTGCCTGCCACCGCGCGCAGGCAAGATGAGCTTTGGTCCAAGCGACCCTCCAGGCTTGTCACATTGGAATCGTCGCATGTTCAGAACAGCGACAGCAATATTCACATGTGTGATTCAAGTCTGCAGGTATCAGGATACGGAGGGGTCTATCATGGTCTATCAATAGAAAAGGCCAATACCCCCTCCACTTTGATGAGCCCTTCCATTTGGACCCCCAACAGCGATTCTTTTGGCCTCATGCAGTTGGTAAATGGAGATACCTCAGTGTAAACTCATCCCTTTTTCAGAGGTGCCCAAGTACACAGATGGTCAGATATAGTCTCTGAACACCCAACACATGTACAATACGGGTTGCTAACGTTTCATTCATCTTCATGATTCCATTGCAATGCATTTGGCACAGACCCGGCATGCAGTGGCAGTGCCCATCTTCAGGTCCCACCCTTCTGGACTGACTCCGGGTTGAGTTGCATGCAGCGAACTGGTCTCTGGACCCCAATTTGATGAAGCTGGCCAGGGCCACTGTTTCTACATCATCCTGGTTTCAGCGAAACACTTCAAGTATGGAACGGCTCCATGGACTCCATGGCTTATGATTCAAGTCTGTCTCAGCTTCACCACTTCACCCCTGGCCACGCTCCCCGGAACGTCGCGCTCGCTTCGCTTCGCAGGCAAGATGAGCTTCGGCCCCACAGAGCCTTCAGGCGGAGGCGCGTTGAGCGGTGACCTGACCGCGCCACGCCTGGAAGTGTTGGAAAGACCACGAGCAGCCGACTTTGCTGGTGGTTCTTGGCTGGTGAATTTGTTGTGAGACTTGGCTGGTCGTTCTTGGCTGGTGGCTTGAGAGACTCAACTGGGAAACTCTTTGTTGTGCTGACACTCGGCACATCTCGACACATTATGAAGGTTGCTCGGGGATGATTTGCTTGGGTGTGATCATGGTTCGTATTCCAATGGCTGTTCAGATCATGGCTGGGTGGCTTCTTTTTTTTTGCAACCACATACATGTTACATGTGTTTGTTCTTTCATTAGCTGCCTGGCTGGTTGTTTGCATCCCGTGAAAAGGACGGTGGAATTGGAGATGGGTGGACTTGGTAGGAGAAATCTGGAGCTGACAGCCAGATATAGTTTCAGTCGTGACTGAAGTAGAGAACAGTTCCAAGAACTTCACAATCCAGACTACCCGTGACTACCCGTGACCACCGTTGATTGAAAGAAATTCACCCGACTGAGTCTACATGAATCGTCCGTGAACCGAGTGAACCGTAGTGTCTGGAGTCTGTCGATCCCGAAGCTGTTTGGAAATGGCTTGGTGCCAGGAAAGATGAGCTTCAGCCCCAATGAACCAGCCGGAGGCCATCGCACAAACCAAAAGAGTCATCCATCAAATATTTTAGTAGATGGCTGTCGAGTGAGCAAGACTAGATGCTTTTGCCACCAAGCAATGTTTGCTGTATATCCAGTTGGCATCTTTGACGTTCTATTCCGGGTTATTAGAGACAGTGAACTTCGTCGCGCTATTCAGTCGATCTAACGACTTCTACTTTGTCGCCATTTCTGGTGGTTTTCATTCATGGCCTCCAACCTACTAGCTTCTTGCTACTAGTAATTACCAGTAGTAATACCAGGAGCTACTAGTAGTTTCTTGCTCCGTTCGTAGCGATGCCCTTTGTTTCTAGTCACGTTCTGTGTGGCTTGGAGTGGACGACTTCACGGTGAGACGACGACTGGTCCGTGCGGGGAAGCGAAGGAATTGTGTCTTCAAAGGTCACAGGTTCCGTGAAAATGCCACTGGTCAACTTCCTGCAGTCTTCCCTTTGGATCCAATTTAGTTTTGGTAGTATTACATGGTTCTTGGTCTTTGATGTGTACCATATGTTGAATCTACCGAAGATTGAAACAGAGTATCCACAAATCACATGCCAACCTACATGGCATCTTTATACACCTCGGCTGAAATCTATCTTTAAAACCTGACTGGTTGGTGAACCCGCTGGAACCAAGTGGAACCACCTCCCCAACCGTAACGACTCTCTCTCCCAGACCATCCTGACTCGCAGGGAAGATGAGCTTCAGCCCCAACGATCCACCCGGTGGCTCCTCAGCTGCAGGGCAACGCTTTTGGATGCTCGACGTGGATGTGTTTCAAAAGAAAGGATCGAACTTCTTCATTGCTCAACATGTTAAGGAACATGTTCTTGCACTTCTTTGATCAACGTGTGCACTGCAAGAAAACAAAACACCTAGCCACTCCCTAAATGCCTTGGCGCCAGGAAAGATGAGCTTCAGCCCCAACGACCCTCCGGGAGGCGCGGAAAGGGACTGATCTGGATGTCTCAGTGAGGCACCTGTGCTGTTCAATGTTATTGTATATCATCCGTTATTTGTTTCAATGGCATGGCATGGAGATCATTCGGCAGTTTTGCGTGCGTATCAGTTGGGATGTGGGGGACCATTGAGTCGTGGAGTGAAAGGGTCGGCCATGCGCAAAAGTTGCCAAGTTTGCAATACGAATTAAACCACATTTACAGCGTACATAACTCTCAAGACATGCATCTGGAAAACCAGCAAGAATGTCATAATGTGGTCAATCAGTCCCACATGTCACATATTGTTGTTTCGTCAAAGTCACATCACTTCAACCAATCGATATCAGTGCCGCGTGATCACGTGCTCCACTGAGTTCCACAGATTCTCCTCATTGTAGGGCCGATGTTCACTAGGCCCTAGGCTTTGGAGGGCTTTTTCACCACCTCCATCAGTCGGATGAGTTATTTTTCCGGCCCTGAGGGCTGATTTTCAGCTGTCACCAAATTCCGGGTGTGCCGAGATTCTGCAATGCTCATGCCTGAGGTCAGCTATGACCTCAGCCCCGAACATGCATTCTTGGATTGGAACCATTCCATCCATGGGCGGATGTCCGTCCATGGGAGACTCACCCACCTCTCATGCGGATCGGTGCGCCCTTCAGGCAAGATGAGCTTCGGCCCGACCGAGTCCTCCGGAGGCGACGCGTCTTTCGGATCCAAAGGATGGCTGGACGCCCGAAGGGGGTGAAGCGAAGGCATCCGGGAAGGATGGTGACCTTTTTGTAGAAGGGCTACTGGAAAACGGGTGTAGTATGGTGTAGTATTGAAAGATGGCTGTGTCACTGTCAAAAGACTTTGGATTCATCAAATTGGTGATTTGAAGATGGATCAAGATGATCAGGCATTTTTGCTCAAGTGGTCACTTCCTGGACGAGGGGCAGGCATGGAGATTCAAGCACTCTCTGGTGCCACGGTTTCCCAGCTTCATGAGGAGGATCTACTCTGCATGGTGGAGAGTGGACAATCTGTAAAGGATCTGAAAAGGCTCCTCGCCAGTCGGATTGGATACTCGAGATTCCGACAAAGACTCGTCAGTAAAGAGCTGGGCGAGCTACGGGATGATATGCCTGTCAGACAACTACCAAGTTTGCAGTTGGTTATCTTGGACTTCTGTGCACCTGAGCAGGCCAAGTCGGAGGCACTACTCCTTGCATGTCAGAACAATCGAGTTGTTGAAGTTGAACAGTTGCTTCAGAAACCACTGGATCCAAATAGGAGAAGCGCGGTCCCTCAACCTGTGTGGCCTATGTTTTCCGCGGCGGAACAGGGCCACTTGGAAGTGGTGCGGTTGTTGCTCGAGGCCGGAGCTGACAAGAATGCTGCAAAGCAATATGGTACAACCGCCTTGATGCTTGCAGCTCATAATGGCCACTTGGAAGTGGTGCGGGTGTTGCTCGAGGCAGGAGCGGACAAGAATGCTGCAAGGCAAGACGAGGCAACCGCCTTGATGATTGCAGCTCAGGATGGCCACTTGGAAGTGGTGCAAGTGTTGCTCGAGGCTGAAGCTGATATGAATGCAAGGCAAGACGGGACGACTGCCTTGATGCTTGCAGCTGTGTGTGGCCACTTGGAAGTGGTGCGGGTTTTGCTCGAGGCCGGAGCTGACAAGGATGAGCTGACAAGAATGCTGCAAAGCAAGGTGGGGCAACCGCCTTGATGATGGAAGTGGTGCGATTGCTCCGCTGAGGGAGTGCTTGAGTGGAATGGCAGCTACTCAACCACCAAGTCGCGAGACTTTTCATGTTCACGTGACACGAAGAAGACACCACCTCGGAAAAAAAGGAGCAAGATGATCCCAAGTGTGAACCAGAATTGGAAGGAATATAAACTTAAACATGTTCCCACCAAGTTTGGCATCATTTTTCTCTCATGCCGCTGCATGTTCAAGGGTGTATATATATATATATACACATGACATGCATGTACCAATGTTTTGACCATAAACACATGGCCACGTCCAGCACTCATGTCGCTCGCACACACAGAGACCTCAATGCGAGGAAAGATGAGTTTCAGCCCCAATGATCCTCCAGGAGGAGACTAAGACGGATCATGTTTGACATCAATTGCTCATGTTCTGATTGCACATGTCGACCATTGCATCAAACATCCTTTTCCTCCCTTTGCTTCTGTGCTTGTTGCATTTGTTGGAGAGACTTCGTTTAGGGATCCGGGACACTTGGCAGGGGGGCATTCCCCCATGTTGATGCCGTAAGAAACTTTTAGCACGACGCTGAGGCATGGGGTGCCAGAGTTGCTGAAAGAGACATGCGTGTTTGTGTGTTCTTGTTTGGTTTCTGACCTACAATACAGTTGAAAGAAGTTAACCCCTGCGCTGCATCATCTCAGGTGGATCATTTCCCACAGATATGCGTGTTTTGGAAGTAGAATGGCTGGACTGATCGCTGGTGCCAGGAAAGATGAGTTTTGGCTCCAGTGAACCATCAGGAGGTCGAGAACTTTGGGCTGGGAATGGTGCTCGCAGTTGGGGAGAAACCTCAAGCAATCACTGACTGGTGGAATGAGGGTGGCCGTATCCAAAGTAATCTCTATCCGCTATCCAAAATGGTTATTTGTGTTCCTTTTCTTCCTTGGATGTCACGGTCGACAGGTTTTGGGGGAGCTTGTTCTTTCAAAGGACATCCATCTCATGAGGCCTTGCTGAACAGGTCCAAAACTCAGTGGAAAGGAGGCGGAACGGACTTCGCATTGGTCAAAATTCATCGGATGGGCTCTGATTTGCGATCCCCTTTGGAACGAATCTGCGAGTTTTCTTTGGATCTGATGGATTCAACGAAGCTATTTTGTTCAATTGCCAACGGGCATGCAACCACCTGGTCACGAACGAAGGAAGCAGCTGCCTGCCAGGCAAAATGAGCTTCAGCCCCAACGATTCGGGAGGCAAAGCCCAAAGGGATGGATGATACGGTCAACATAAGAGGTAGTCATCGGTAGTCCTGATGATGGGATGGGATGGGCGCCCAGATGATGAGAGTGGAGCTTAAGCCTGGAGGTCTTTTGACCCGTCCGACGTAGAAGATTCATGACATGACAAGAGAGGCCCGTTTTGTGAATGTTTGGCTCGATCAACAAAGCCGTTTTTAATGAGTTCACCATGGGTCCACTGTTTAGTTTACTTGTGATATTTAGTTTTTAGGAAGTTCAAAGAGGGTCCCAATGACTCGACTTGTGTTCGGCCGGGCCGATCACACTCTCACGCCGACACGACAGTGTCATGCAGTTTTCACACTGCAACGAAGTCAATGTCGTGGTGTCGGTGTTTCTCTTAAACTCAGATTATTGACTCAGTTTTTTGTACGGATCCAAATGAATTGAACTCAACATGCAGTATGACCGATTTATATAATTACAAGTGAATGCTTGAAACAGCCGCACGAGGGTCCCCGATACAGAACCCCTATCAGTATGAGTTTTGACCATTCTGTGTGAGAATGTCCACTGTCGGCAATGAAACTCCTGGGAAGAAACACGTGACCGCCAGGGAAGATGAGCTTTAGCCCAAACGATCCTCCCGGAGGTCGTCAGTTGGGCAGTTGGGGCATAGCAGTCCGTCGACCCCGACTGCTCGAAAGATGTGTGAAGGTTACAATGTTTCACCACAGGCGCTGATCTCAAGCTGAAGGGAGACCTCAGTCCCCAAACGCACCATATACTATATGTAGCTCGACCGAGAGACCCATGGATTTGACCTGGTGCAAGGTTGCTTTCACGGAAGCTTACGGGGTATTCATCTGCTTTTTTGGATAGACAGTGCTCTTGTTTTCTTCATGCTGTTTCTTCACCTGGGCATCGGTGGCGCTAGCCGCCACATGAGCCCTACAACCCTGCTCAGAGGACAACATTTGGGAGTCAGGAACAGCAATCAGTTTTGGTGTGGGCAAACTGGGAGTTTCGTCTGAACCTAGGGAAACCCGGAAGGTGCTGGTACATATCTCCTTCATCGTGTAAAACCACCAAGCACTTTGTTTCGGGCCAACTTCAAATTTCCGATGGATCAGGCCGTGATGTCCTAGGGTACGCGGAACTGGCAGGGGTAGTTGTCAAACAGCCAAAAATTGGATGAACGCAGGATTTGTGTCTGTATTTTAATAGGGAGACCTTCTGGTCCAATGGGTTTTAGATGGTCTTTGGCAGTTTTCCTTCCAGGGGGTCGAACTGGGAGGTCTCCCTATTTTGATACACATGCATTGTTTACCACAGATACCTCGGCCTTTCACTGGCTTTTCACTGAGTGCCTGAAGTTGACCAGAAATTCTGTGAGGAAAGATGAGCTTCAGTCCAGAACCTGCTGGCGCCCCAACTGGAGGCCCCAGCAACGACCTCACGGGTGGGTTTGCACTTGTGTAAGCTGTGATGAAGAGGTGAGGCTGGAGGACTTGAAGATCTCATGATACCTCTCCTCGAAGCAAACAATGGACGCACAGATCAGAACAGACTGAAATGGATTGAACTGATTCGTTTTTTTCAAGCTAATGTCACTGGCGTATCTGTCGGTTGCAGGAAAGATGAGCTTCAGTCCTGAACCTGCTGGAGGCCGGGGGGACATTAGGATCATCCTAATTAAGCGGACCTCACATTGTAGAGGCGGAAACTAAGTCTTTGGAACTCCGCGCTCCAGTTTGTGAGGGGCGTTTTCCATCCAATTTGACATCTTGGCAGGATACTTGATCCTGTTTGCCGATGTGGCAAATGCTGTGGAAACTTTGTTGATGTTTGTTTCAAGCAAGTCATGCTCAGTTGTTGGGGTTTGTTTCAAGCAAGTTATGCTCAGTTGTTGGGAACTGGCGCCAGAAGAGTGTCCCTACCTGGCACCAGGAAAGATGAGTTTCAGCCCCAACGAGCCTTCAGGCCGGAGCTGCCCAGGGACGGGACGCGGTTTCAGGGTAAGACCCGAGGCAGCCGAGGCATGGTTTTTCGCGTGGGCATGGCCTTCGCCACCAAGACCCATCAACACAAGAAAACTCAACAAAGCTGAGAAAATCTACATCAAAACATCAGCTTGGAATCCATCAGCCTTGGTCGGTTGTTTTTGTCTGCGCATTTTGAGTCTATTCGTAGACCAAACTGGAAGCTCGCCCTGGACCCACCGCCACAACTCCCCAAGCAAACCGCCCTTCAGCGGCTTTGAACAACGCGACTATCCTTCACCGATCCAAGGCTGAAGGATCAGAGCTATCAGCACCACAATGTGTTGCTACAGCAGTCTGAGGTGGTTGAAGTGGTGGGACTGACATCACCCAGTGAGGAGGTGGTGTGTCGATGGTGATAAGCATGGAGCCCCATGCTACGCTCCTCTTTCTAATGTATAATTGAAATTGCAGAACCATGAGGAAACTCAGCTTGTCTGCAAGAACATGGAGCCTTCATCAACCCAAAACTCACTTTGATGAAGGGAGGGCAGAAAGCACCCACCATGCTCATAGGGGAAATAGAAAAGGTCGGCCTCCACTGTCCAGGCAAGATGAGCTTCGGGCCTAGCGAAGGCTCTGGAGGCGGAAAATCTCTGACTTTTGGTCGAGCTGAGCCCTTGGGGGTGTCTTTCAAAGACTGCGACCTGGAAAATGGCAAGAGGCATGAGACAGGAATAGGAATAGAAGTAATTATTGCTTGGGGCAATTTACATCTGGCCCTGCCCAAATGGTTTGTACACTGGTTGAGATCAACGAGGCTGACCAAGACCTAGCAGCAGTCGAAGTGAAGATCTTAGTCTTATTCATTGAAACACCTCTCCAGGCAAGATGAGCTTTGGGCCTAGCGAACCCTCTGGAGGCAGGATGTGTGCAGTGTTTTCTTAAGACATCTTGGCTTTGTTAAGAAGGGTCACTCGAAACAGAGGTTAAACACCGGGGGGGTATCCGAATTTCGATGCATTTTCACATCCAGCTAGGGTTAGAAGCTTTCGCACCGCCGGGATGACCGGCTGTCAGCCGAAAGTCATATGCTTCGTTTTGCTCTTACTCACAGATTGGATTCCTGGGTGACAGACTCGGCAGTGAGGCAAGATGAGCTTTGGGCCCAGTGAGCCTTCAGGAGGCCCTTGGCTTCCCTCTTATGCCGGAGTGATAGGAAGGAGTCTTCACATGAAGACAGTGCAGCAGACATCGAGGACATTGCTCATGTGATGGGCCCCCTGAAAACCATTCGGAGGACCTTGGAAACTAGGACTAGGATTTCCATGGATTTCCTACTTGTTTGTACAGCCCGACATGAATCTCAACAATTCAAGCCATTCGCTCCAGCATTTTCAAGAGCATTAAGGGCATTGCAAGAGGTTTGTTGTTTCAAACGTGAATCAAGAGAAACTTGATTATCCTTGAATGCGTTTCAGGTATCACACAAGCCGAAGGTGAGGCGAGAAGTGTCTCTCTCTCACACACACAAATTCAACAAACAACACTGAGTCTGGAGGAATCTATGTCCAGATAAGTCAAAGTTGACTGGGTAGCCACTGCTCTTTCGCCCAGCAACTACTCGCTCTGGGCACCAGATTCGACCCGCACCCCAACCAACAAGCACCAACAAGGGAAAAGACAACGAAGAATCCCACGAGGCCCCAACAAAAACTGCAGCTTTTGGAGCATTTCTTCTTTTTGCTCCCCAAAAGCTGTACCAAAACAGTCTGGCCGAACAACCGCGACCCGTTTCCCCCCAGGGTGTGTGACCCCGCGAGGTCGTTTCGACGGAGGCCACCGGTTGGGGGCGGCCGGGGGATGAAGAAGCGAAGGTTCTCGAATTGCATGAATCCTTATTGCAAGAAAGGTATCTTGTTTTTTCAAGTAGCGGATGGTTGGATGATGTTGGATGACCAAGGTTGGGAGAGGTCTCTGAAGGATGGGTCAAAAACGTAGAGTTCCAGTTTTCGACGCGGTGCAGCTACGGAACAGAGCTTCCTGTTCATAAAGGCTCGCAGCTGATCTTGGAAGAGATTTGGTGTTTATTTCATCCACGGGCCTTGAGCACTGCCAAATTTTGGGGCCGTGCCACTATAGCGAACACTCGTCGCCTCGTCGCATGAAGACTCACATCCAGTGGCTTGGATGTTTTGCCAGGACCCTCCAAGACGGCCGAGTCTACAGGCGTGAAGCTTTTGTTGTGATGCGATGATTCTAAGTGCTTGATTGAAGACTCACAAGACAAAGCAAGACCATGCACAACGCATACTGGCACCACCCAGTTCGGGTGGTTTATAGATACCCTGACGATGTTTGATCCAATAACCAACCTTTGGGTCGTGGTGGTACATATTACAACTTTACTTTCCCACGCAGACCAGAATGAAGATGTGTTTGGACTCTCTCTCATTGATACTCTTCAAGGACATGCCAAACACAGCGCAATGAGTGGTGGTTCAGGCAAGCTGAGCTTTGGTCCCAACGATCCTCCTACAGGTGCCTGGATCTTTGCTGTGCGAAAGACTGCAGAGCAGCTGGGGTGGTTGTGGAGTTCCCGGCACCTCCTCGACTTCAAGTAGTCCCAATCTTTCTTTTGGAAAAGGGCTGAGAGGGAATTGAACCCCAATAGTTATGTAGCACGGCTCCCATGAGGCCTTTATCTGGGTCTCCCTGCAATGGTTCGAAGCAGGTTTGATACTGTTGTTGGAGGGCAGTAGTTGGATCAGATACCGATACAAAGAACTATATGAGCAGTGGTCAAAAACCTATAGTAAGCTCTTTTTTGTGAGAGGTGGTATGGTATGATGCAAACCACCAAGGCAGCGCTAGATTGGCGCTAGGTTCGCAGTTGACTTTTTTTCTTGTCGTCGTTGTATATAGATGTGTTTAGAATCAACATTATTCATTTGGTTTGGTTCATGAAATCTTGCGCATCTTGCAGGAGAATGCTGCAACTGACGTAATTAGATTAGGCTGTGTGCTGACATGCTTTTGAGTAGTAGTATACAAAGTATACTATAGTGGGAAAAATACAGAAGTGACCTCTGTGATGTGTGTTGCTGTTACCTCAAGCCGGAAAAGTTCTGATTTTTGTGCGCTAGACCCGCCCAGCATTTGCACTAGGTTTGCGTAGCACAGTTCTCAAATGTGATCTTCGAAGGTACTACTTGGAAAGCTTGTCCCATGTCTCTTTTTCCTATCAAATTCCTCACAGCATGGCTAGCTTAGACAACAAAAGATCATCGAAGAGTTTAAAAAGGCCTTCGCGCTAGCTACGTTTGCAACATTCTGCACCTCTGATTGAAATACTTCACATTTCCACACATCCCAGATACCCTCTCTGAAATGTATTGAACAAGAAGCGGGCCCCCATCAGAATGACTTTTACAGCCGCTTTCGGGAGACCACCAATCATACATAACTTAGGATTGCATACAAAATAATGATGTTAATTCATGTTGATGCTTAATACTATTGTCTTATCGAGTCTTAATGGTTGAAAGCTGTTGCATGCACCAGCTCCAAGATGGCTCCTCCTTCCTTGCACCAGTTTTTCGATGTCCACAGACAGTACAGGTGGCGACAGTCGAGGAGTGAACCCCTTTGGACAGATGCCTGGCTGCAGTGGGACAGCAGGAAGTATCAGGAAGTGATGTTTGTGGGACTGCACGCGCAAGCTGTTTGGTTGAGAAATAACCCACTATAGATAGAGATCTTTAACCTGGGGCGACGTTCGCGCGCGAGCGACATGTCGGACCACGGACCACTCACCAGCAACCTTGCCCAATGAAATGGTAGAGCGTCTTCTACAAGATCTTCGAACGATCGTGTGTTCGGGATAAACAGCATAGAACCAAGCATATACAAACCAATTCGATGATCCGTTTTTGTTTTTGGATAGCTGCTAGACCCAAAGTATCACAGTGCTCGAGAATTACTCCTCGTTTTTCAGGGGCTGTTCAGCCAGAATCTGTGATTCCAATGTTTCTTTAATTGTGTTTCTTTCCATCAAAGTCTGTTGACGTCAGCAATCTCAGCTGGACCCGGAGCGCAGCGATCTCAGGATGGGTGGCATGGGGCCCATGGGCATGGGTCACTTGGCCCGGAACCACCGTTTGTCGCGCGGTTGGTCGCGCGTGGTTTTGAAAAGTCTTAAAGGCCTCATGGGGGTCGTTCCGTTTAAACATGGAGATCTTTGGAAAGCGGCAAAGGAGTTGCCCTTCCAGCAACACTGTATGATGGGGCAACATGGAAGAAAAACTCTTGCACAAATAAGGTCAGACTGAAAGACTCTTAGTCCCCAAGGTGATGAAAAGAAAGAGCACAATCACTCGAGCAAGCGTGCCTTGTTCCTCTCCGTAGAATTGGGTGGCACACAAGAGGTGGGATTACAAACTCGTAGTTTGCCTCCAGAGGCTTTAACTCCATTCCCTTTAAATAACACACGCATACACTCGCGAACTGGACTTTGTGCGTTTCAGGCTTTGGTATGGTTTGTGGCAATCAAATGATGGAGATGTGATGTTAGAGCATGAGGACAGTTGCCTTCCAACAGTTGTTTTTTGGTTCAACAACGATGGAGTTCTCACCAATTTCGTGCGAATAACAGTGCAAATTTAAATTCTAAGACCTGAAACCCCTAAGAATCCCTCGTTGATTGGTGGGGGGGGGCAAGCTTTGCATCCTGGCAGCAATACCACTGCTATGGCAATGGGTAAGAATGGTTAGAGATTTACATCCTCCACCAATCAATTGGTTTGGTCATCTATGTTTGAGCCTCAAGGTGCTTGGTCTTAGAGTCTTTGGTTTCTTAAAGAACTGTCTCCTCACATTTGCCAAATGAGCCTATCCACAGGTGGAGAGATGAAGCATAGCCGAAGCTTTGTTTGAGGAGTGAAATTGAAGGGTGGTCTTGGAACACTGGACCCAGGCTCCTAATTGCTCTTTAGGGGTCAGTCACCTTTGTAGGACATGGTTAAAGAAGTTGGTGTGTGTTTGAACTATTCGTGCAGAAGTGTGACCAGCACAGACTATTTTAGAACAAACTCAACATTCTTTAAGCTTTTGACTTTATCAAAATTCTGCACGCATGCTCTCAGGAGAAGAGTGGACAGGTCTGCAGTGTCTACAGACAGAGAGTTGCAAAGCATCACCCCATTTCTAGAGTTTTTCAAGTGAATCCAGCCAAATTTCACTAGGGGAGTTTCCACTGAGTTACCAATGTTTGGTCAGCTCGGCACTGGGGCATCCCGAGATCCATCCCGAGACCCAACATGAAAACCCAACACTGCCAAGGCATGGGTTTGGACAGCGAGTTCATGTTCCGGGCCGCCCTGCAACAAGGGATGCGCCTCGGCCGGGGTGGGTTGTGGGCCAAATGACCCAATGCCATTGAACTCTGGGTCAGGAGATAGAGACTGGGAAGTTTGCCTGTGACCCACCGTGGTGTTATTTTTTGGGGGAACTTATGCTATTTTGGATTTCTTTCTGCAATACTGGATGGATTGCTTTGTTTTAAATGCATTTTGAACCGAACAAATCCCATGCCAAAGGTTTTTCATCTATGTACATAGGTAGTATGCGGAGGTCTTGGAACAGCTTAGAGAGACCCCCTCAAATCTGCCTGAAGATGCAGTTCCCTTCCCATGGATTGACCTAATCGCCAGCCTGAAGAAGGACCTGTAACGGTTCACGGACGTTTCTGACCCTTCGGACACCCTGAGATCCAGCAGCTTACCGAGAGTTTCAAGAATCGGGACCCGTTGCAGGCATCGTTTTCCTGC